TTCAGACTAGGTGCAAACACCTCATCGTAGTCATTTGCTGTCTGATTGAACCCTTGTGCTACTAACCTGGCTTTATGGGTAACAGTCCCTTCTACACCTGTCTTTATCTTATAAATCCATTTACATCCTATGGCATGTTTACCTGGTGGTAACTTAACATTTTCGTATACCTCCAACTTTTTTAATGATTCCAGTTCCTTATCCATTGCTTTCTGCCAAGCAGCCTGATCCTTAGCAGGATACAGTTTCAGTTCACTATAATTACTTGGAACTGTATTCACTTGGCATACAGCCCTAGCCTGATATCTATCAGGTGGTCGTGTTACTCAGGTTGAACGTCTTGAACGCTAAACTAACATTCTTCTGGGCCTTCTGGTGATTACTTGTATTCTGTCTTTTTCCCTTCTTACAGAATCTAGTTATATGTCCTCTAGCCCCACAAGAAAAACATTTCCTAACAGTATAGGCAGTTGAACACAAATCCTCTTCTTGTCTTTGTTCCTTCTTCAGTTGGTCCCTATCCAGCCATCTTGTTTCTTCTAACAACCTTCCGGTTATGTCAGTTAATGTCAGTTCATCTTTGGTCAGGACTTCCAGTGAAGATATGTAATCATCATAACTTTCATCCAACGAGGAAAGAATGATGTAAACTTGATGCAGCTGTGAAAATATCAATTCCTTTTCATGTGGCTCTTGAAAAGTTCTTTTCATGAAGTTCAAATGAGCTAACATATCTCCACCTTTCAGAAGACGTGCTCAAAACAGTTTATGTGTAAGATGTATGTGTGCACCTACACTGTCATGAACATAAATCCTCTTCAAATTCTCCCAACACCTAGCAGCAGACTCTTCTCCACGAATATGGACTAGCTGCTGGTCACTCAGTGTTAGTCCAATTATACAAAGAGCTCGTTCGTTGTTCTGTTTAAAGTCAGCAAGCTTCTTGGCATCATCCTCATTTTCTGGATCCCAAGCATTTACATCCGGTGGGTCTTGAACTACATTCCATAACCCTTCTCTACGCAGAAGTAGACTGCACTTCATAGACCAGGAAACATAGTTTGTTCCATCCAACCGGGTTGTCAGTGATAGACTTGTTGAAGTGTCTTGTGCCATCTTTACCAGGATAGTAACCCACAATTAAACAGTAAACAGCTGTCTGTATACAGTACTGTGTATTCACACTAACTCTCAGTTATCTGAGCCTGGTATGGCCTGGGCCCATAACCAGTGTTGAGGTAATTCCCCGTTAGGAGAATGAGCGCACACAGGGAGACGTAGTGAGAGTGGTGAAGAATAACACACAAACAGCACACAGATACACTGTATAGTAAAATGTAGGTTTTTACTTCCAATAAATGTTTAAGCAAAGTCCAAACAAGCAGTCCAAGACATTCACAGTTAAAGCAGTCAGTTTTCAGTGCAGGGATAATCCAATAGCAAAGTCCAGTATCAAAAACAGTTCAGTAACAGACTGACATCAAATCCAAGAATAACAGTCAATACAGGAACGGCAACACTCTCCAGAAAAGGACAACAGAACAAGAACTAACAACCCAGGTTTCTGGCTCCATCTTATGGCCGTTTGAGGAACCACACCCAATTACACTTTTAGCATTCCCTTAAAGAGACAGTATTAAAATGTCTATCCTGGTTTGTATATTTTCCAACCCAACTATTAAGTGACTTACGTTCCTAACACCCTTTTCCACATTGAAACATCTTTGCTAGCACATTGAAACCTCTTTGGCTTCTATTAAAGGTTTTGTGGACGAAACATGGTCAAGACTATCAGGAAGCTCTCACATTTTGTTGAGGCTTTAAACAGGATCCATTGGACCAGATCTCCACCCTAAAAATTACTTTTCCCCAATGTATTACAGTGCCAATTCTGAAGAAGGCAAAACCAAAATGTACTGGTAAATTACAAGGAGAACACACACACACACACACACTCCCTTCTAACCCTGCTGGAACAGGTGATTGGACTAGAATTGATATCTCATTATCTTTCTCCTCCCTCCCTCCCTTCTACGTTATTTCTTTTTCTTTCTGTCCCTTTCTTCCATCCCCCCTTCTTTGTCTCCCTTTTTCTTTCTTTCCCTTTTCTCTTTCTTTTCTTCCTCTCTTTCTCTCTCTCTTACTTTTCACTCTCTCTTTCCCTCTCTCAGGCTCACCCCTTTGGATCAGGGGTCACCAAACTTTTGGACCTCAGGGACCACCAAACTCATAATTTTAAATCCCGGAGACCACTAATATGAATTTTGACTGACGGTGGCTTTCTGGCGTTGGTGGGAGAGAGAGAGAGATCTGATCCAACCTCTCTCTCTCCCTCTCTCACACACACAGGTGGGGGTAGGATTTAGACCCCTGATCTAAAGCTGCCAAAACTCCAAAAACAGGTCAAGTAGCTCTGGGGAGGCCAATCATAAATTAGAACACTTGCTAAACAACCGGCCATTAAGTGAGGACCACTTGTATTTGGTTTGCCAGTCACCTGGCCACGCCCACCCAGTCACATGACCAGCAAGCCACGCCCACCCGGTCACATGACCAGCAAGCCACACCCTCAAATTAGGCCACGCCCACAGAAATTTGAATCCCACCCCTGGGTGGGGGGCACCGAGGATGAGTTTGTAGCACCAAGGGGGCGGTGGACTTAAAAAGTTTGGGAACCACTGTTCTACACGCTTCCCTTGTTCTTGAAGTGCTTGCATCATCATCTTTAAATCTTGCATTGAAACTTCCTTTTCCTTTTCCTGCTGTAACATAGCCTGCGTTGATCATTGACCCGCTGGGCTCAAGGAAGATGAAGTAGGAATCAAGGATGCTGTTGTTGCTGTCTTCCTCATTTTTAATATTTATATTATAATCCCAAAACAGAGAGTGGATGCCAATTAATCTAGGCCCAGTTTCTTTTCTTCAGGTTCTTTACCTTAATCCAATTTTATAGGGGTAATATCCTCAGTATTAGCAAAAACAAAAATTAAAATTCCAAGAAGGGAGGAATCAAAAATGTAAAAATATAAAAGGAAAATATATAGGGAAAAGGAAAAAGAAAAAAAGTAATCCAATAGTAATAATCCAATAGTCCAGCAGTAAAAAAAGAACACACAAAAAAGAAAAACAAATACAAAAAGCCAGTCAAAAAGAAGAAAAAAAAAGGATGTCCCAAAAAGTGCATGCTAGAAAGAAAAAATAAAATAACCAGCAGTAACTTATCCACTTTTATATTCTCTTAAAAAGAAAAATCCACAAAGCAAGTCTGAGCCACCAATTAATAACAAAACAAAATCTCTTCAAGGAGAAAAAGAAACCTTTTCTCTTCCATTTCCAGCTGTTTCATTTATATTCCAAGAGCTGCACCTGTTCAAAACAAAAGTCCAGTGCCCAGCTCAAAACAGCCTTAGTCAAAACAACTTTTTATCTTCTTTTCCTTTCCCACAAATTTTATCCTCTTAATTTTCCTCTTTGACCTTCATCTGGCTCTATTGCTCTGCTTTCTCTTTGCCTCTTCACTGTATTATTTCAAAAAATCCCGTTTATACTTTAGAAAAAAAAAGAAAAAATATTTGACAGGTAAAAAAAAAAACAGAAAATTAACCCAATGTCCAATTTAGTCTCTGACCAGCTAACTCCAACAACAACAAAAAGAAAATTCAGTCCAGTTCCAAATATTGCTCCTTTGTTACAGTCTCAATTAATTAGTTCTGTTTTCAATTGACAGTTTAAAAATGCTTTCCTCGCTGCTTCCGGAGGGGGATTAATGCCACTCCTTTTTATCTTCAAGCCCTCTTATAGTTTGCTTTTTTTTTGAGGTGCTCTTTCATTGTTTAAGTAGAAAAAACAAAGTTTCTAACCCAGTCCAGATACACTTTCTTTTCATTCCTTCTTCCGTTCGGAACTGTCTCAGCCTTTTAGCGGCTTTAATGGCCGCTTTCCACTACAGCCGGCTAAGGAAGCTTTCTCTGGATCAACCAGGGACTTTGCAGTGTCCCTGGGATCAACAGAGTGCGCTCCCCTTGTTCATCGTCTCTACATGACGATTTAGATCCAAATGGACCGACCAGCTGTCACGATATTGACGGCTTTCCAGGAGACCCCGAATTGCCCGTTGTTTTGTCACAACGTTAGCACCCCCCAAACAATTCTTTTGCTGTCATTAGATTATTGTACAAACTGAAAGATATAAGGGAATTTATATCTTAAGTTATTTTATTTTGTAATAGTACAACATAGCAACAGAAGACATAAAAAGACTTTTGTGAATTTTGTTTCTGAGAATAGTACAGGGAGACAGGAAGTGATATAACAAATTTGAACAAGAGCTTTATAGAGAAAGAGAAGAGACTTTTAAATGTTTTCTTGTGAAAGATGCCACTAAACACAAGAAAACTTCTTTTCAAATAAATGGATGGAGATGAAACTGGGTGTGAAAAAATATCTGTTTTGGATCTAAGCTTACTTTTTAATCTTGTCATCTGATCAAATCCCATTGACTAGGCTGTAATAGACTGGTCCAATATGGGAAGGCAGAATTGGTGACATACAGAAAGAAAGAACATTACCCTGCTCCCAATTTCCTTATAATGTTTAAAATAAGAAAGCGTAGTTGATTTCTTAAAAAAAAACATTGGGAGGTCACGTTCTATTCTTGATTCACGACTTTGATTTTTCATTGGTAAATATGTGTCCTGGAATTCTCAACATTTCGGTGGTTGAGGGAAGTGATTATTGCTAGAGTTATGATGCAGAGAAATTAAGTGATGTTAATAAATTTATATTTTCTTCATCTTTTTTCCTGTTGTGGAATGGGAGTAACTATGTTAACCTCTATTTACTGAATATTTGTTGCATAATCAGTGGTCCTAGGGTTACCAAAAGAAAAAATGAATTTACATCCCTAGAGTTTTGAGAGCTACAAGCCTATCTAGGCTATGGATATTAACTTTTAATTTTAGTTCTCTGACAACTGTTTTTTAACCTTTCATTTTGCTCAGTGTTAGGAGGGGAGTTTCTCAAGTACATGGACGCCTTCAAACCTTTCCTGAGTATTGGTTTAAAAAATTATGCTGAATATCAGGTAAGGTCCTCCTCTTTGTTTCAGAGAACAATTGGGATTAGTTTGTGTCCGTATTCAGTATTAAGCTATGAACTCCCATTTCTTGACATTTGGGATTAGGTGGTAGATAGTTTTTCTAATAATGCTGGGATTGGAGAGAATTATGGTATCATTCTTTTTTTCTTACAGTGTTATTGAGATTTAGCAGTAATTTTATTTCTGAATCAATGAAGTTAGGTAATTGTCAAAACATATAGGTAGTCCTCAATTTACAACCACAATTGCGCCCAACATTTCTGTTGCTAAGTGAGACGTTTGTGAGTTTTCCCCCATTTTACGACCTTTCTTGCCACAGTTGTTAAGTGAATTACTGCAGTTAAGTTAATAACATGGTTGTTAAGTGAATCTGATTACCCAATTGACCTTGCTTGTCAAGAGCCAGGGTAGCGCAGTGGTTGGAATGCAGTACTGCAAGCTACTTCTGCTGACTGCCAGCTGCCTGCAATTTGGCTGTCAGCCATGGAAGCCATATTTTACTCGGAAGCTTCGGCACTCATTGGCAGTTCGAATCTCATCAGGCTCAAAGTTGACTCAGCCTTCCATCCTTCTGAGATGGATAATATGAGCACCTAGATTGTTGGGGGCAATATGCTGACTCTAAACCGCTTAAAGAGGGCTGTAAAGGACTGTGAAACAGTATATAAGTCTAGATGCTATTGCTATTGTCAGAAGGTCGCAAAAGGTGGTCACATGACCCTGGACACTGCAACTGTCATAAATATGAATCAGTTGCCAAGTGTCTGAATTTTGGTCATGTGACCATGGGGATGCTGCAATGGTGTGAAAAACAGTCATAAGTCATTTTTTTCAGTGACATTGCAATTTCAAACAGTCATTAAATGAATGTTGTAAGTCGAGGACTACTTGTACTAATGAGAACAAAAAGTATTCTTTTAACCTATAACCTCACAACTAAATCCTGAGGCTGTAAGCTGCTGATTTCTTTTCTTTTCTTATCTAATTAGGTATTCTCATTGATTCTAACTGCTTTAGAATTATTTTGCCCATCATATGCAGTTTGGCAACATTCTTGAGGTCTAGATAATAACAGAATTCAGTAGTATGTATATCACTTGTTTTAAAAAATGATAAGCCCAGGTTAGAAAAATACAGAGTTCTTGGTGGTGGAGTAAGGAGGACAAAAGTTTAATTGTGGTTCTGATAAAAATATTTTAGAACAATTCAGCATTGTTTTTCCTCAAATTTTCAAAACAATTCACACATAAGCAGTAAAGTTGCTTACAGTCCCAGGAGCAGCAGCAAGCATATAGATTCCCACCATGCTAAGCCTCATATCTGCGCAAGTTACCTGGCAAACACTCCTTGCAGTCATCTGTTGCTTCCCATCCAAAAACATCCCATTTGGTATAGAAGCAGATAATGACTAGGTGTGGATGACAGATTGAAAGCTTTGCAGAAGTGGTACAAAACTGAATTAAAATGCAGTATTTGTCAGAGCATTTGCAGCATGACTGCTATTATGAGACAACCCAGGAGCAAAACTCAGCACACAGAGACTTAGACATTTAACAGTGGTTTATCTACAACAGTTGATACAGAAAATACACATGGTGGGTAAAATACCTTAACAAGTAAGCATTCACACGGTGAATGCTGCAATAAATACTGGACACAAGGAAAGAAGACACACCCTCTATAATGGCTGCAATTATATACACACTTCTTAAAGGGATCTTTAATCCCCAGTCTTAAAGGTAAATACCCATGTTATGCTGATTCATCCTTGTTACATGAGCTACATCTGGCAGCTATTCACTGCTGGTTGGCTCTTAAATCCCAAGACTTTGACAGTATTGTGCATGGAAGGGAGCAGGCCTTTTCTGCAAATAGTTGAATGGATGTGGGGATAGAATATCAAATCCTAGAAATGTGTATGAATCTGAAGCTGGGCTTTTAAAAGGGAGGAGGGTAGTACATTTGAAAAATAAAAACCTAAATATTTCTCAGGTGCAGGGATGAGTGAATTGCAGGCAAGTTTTAGTCCATAAAAATTGTCACCAGGACCTCCCCCAGTTTTAATATTTTTCTATGGGAAAAGTGCATATCTGCTTACTTATCCAACTCAAAAAAAATTGTAGATAGGAGTCTATTTGGGTTCATTCTCCAGTTTATAGGAGTTTTATTTTTGGGCTCCATGATCCCAGTCAGAATCAGATCTTTTTCATTAGCTGTGGAGTTTTATTTTATTGGAGACTAAATCAAAGAATAAGACAGCCAGTTTGAGATAGTGAATTCTAGTCGAACTTTAGGTACAAAGACAGTTGGGTGACCTTGGGCCAGTCATTCTTTCTCAGCTATTGGAAGGAACCTGCTGCTGAAATTTTGCCAAGAAAACTGTAGGTACCTGTCCAAGCAGTTGCCAGGAGTCAGCAATGACTTGAAGGCATAAAAAATGTTTCTTTCTACCTACAAGCATAGTTGTCTTTCCCCCCCACTACTTACAGCTTTGCATTTAATGGTGAACAAAAAGCTATAGGTCAAACATGACACAGCCCACGAAATTGCACCAAAGGACACAATTTAACTGTGAATTCAGTTTATATAATTATGTAGAATCTGAGGGGGTGGCTGAAGGTGAGAAAGGAAGTGTGTCCTGAATGGTTTCTTTGTATTTGGTTAGATGAATATTTTAAGAGGGCTAAAGAAAAAAGAGCTTTAAAGGGGTTAAGCAAGTGGAAAAAAAGTTGTGGGAGAAATTGTTTGAAGCAGTGGCCATCCTACTGACTACCCCATTATTTAGAATAAATAGAATAGAATAAATTGTTTGGTTAAAGCAATACAATAAGATGAGATTGCGAATGGAAAAGATTTTCACAACTTATTTAAAAAAGGAGGGGGAAACCCTGATGTTAAGAGAGAAGAAGGAAGACGAGAGAAAGAAAAATCGGAGTCAGATGTCCTTAACCAACTGTTCAAAAAATCAGCATCACAAATGACAGCGCTAAATAAAAATGTTCAGCAATCATAAGAGAGATAAAATGAAGTAAAAGTGGAACTAAAAATTGCAATTATGAATATAGCAAAGAGAATGCAAGCCAACATTAAAAATATATCAAAGTTAAAAACAGATTAACTACAAAGTAGCTCAGCTACAAAATCCAAAACCAAGGGACTATATACAGTATTTTGTTCAGCAAGACTTAAAGCATTTTCAAGAATTGACATGTGCTGAGTCTTTCAAGTTCTTACACTATTTCAGGGAAGTAGAGATTCTCATACATGGATCACAATCCTTTTGAATGGATGATGTGTGACAGGCTGTGTATGGACTTCCGGTGGTGACGTCACGGTGGTGCGGAGCAAGGAGGGCGATCTCTGCTCCCTTGGGTCCGATTTTTCACGCTTGGGAGCTCTTCGGGGCATCGTGGATCTTGGAGAGAAGCACGAATTAGAGGGGAAGCCTTAAGGGTAGCGAGGAGGAAGGCAACCTTCCGCTATGATGAGAGGAACCCCCTTGAAACCAGTGTGCAAGAAACGCGGCATCTATGGCAGGTCCGAAGCCGTGACAATCAGCTGTGATCGGGAAGCAGGAAAGTGGAAATCAGCATGAGACATTGGAAAAGAAACGGTGGATTTGGACAGTTTGATGAGGTGAGAGAAGAGAGTCCTGAGAAAGGTGTCTAGCAGAGGGAGCCTCCGGGGGAAGTGGACTGTGGCTGTGAATTGGCAGTGGCTGCGAAGTGGAGGAAACTAATAAAGGCGAGCAGTTTAACAGTCGGAAGGAGGGGAGGCTCGGAAGAACCAAACGTATAAATTTAAATCTCCTAAAAAACTTTTTTGAACTTTTTTGCACATTGGACTGATTTCAAGAAGCAAAGAGGTATTAGAACAGTAGTTGGGAGTTCTTCGTTGTGGAGGAATGGAGAAGAGAAACCATCTCGGAGGGCAGTGACTGCAAATTGAGAGAGTTAGAGACTAAGCAGTTAAAGATGGCTGATGCAATAGAAGGGTGGAGAGCAGTTTGACTTTGAGTAGGAAGAAAGAAGAAGTGGAAATTGACTAATATCTGCAGATTAAGTATTTAAATAGTTAAACAGTACATAAATATTTGTAACAGCATTTATTCTATATCATATATTTTGTTTCCCATATTTATACTTGATGAATTGATTTACTTATTAGATACACAATTTATATAGGATAATTTACATCAAAACTATATATAACTATTACCCTACTCTATTTATATTATATATGCTAAAGTATTAAATTATAACTTTAATAGTTAGATAAGATAGTTAATAGAAATACACTGACTATATTTCCTTGATATCTAATTGATAATTGGACATAAATTACACTTATATTTCTACAAATACATTTAGATTTATATCTATACTTTCTATATTTACATATGCATAGTTATATTTAAATACCTTAGACTTTACCTTCTTTATAGCATCATATAATTAAACAAAGATGGAGATATATAGAAGGGCATAGTAGTAAGATTGACTTGGATAATATTTCTATATTACTCAAATCTTTTTCAGATTTTTTAGATACTAAACAATTAATTTATACCTGAATTGTAGTGATTAGTTTATGATATTTAGATTGAAAAACAGAGTTTTACACTTTCTGGAGGTCAACTGATAAAACATGATAATATTGAAAGACTTTTTTTAGGAATTTTGGGAAATTTGGAAATCTTAAAATGTCTACCACCACAACTGTTACTAAAATTGGGAAGAAAACAGCATCCAACTCAGCACTGGCAACAGCATCACCAGCAGGACAATGCTCGATTGAGGGTATGCTGAGCTCTGAGAAGACAAATCCTGCACCAAATTTGCAGACAATACAAGCAGCACTTACAACAATACAAGAAACCATGATGAGAACCCAAGAAACAATAACAAGAAATCATGAGGACTTTAAAAGTGAAATGGGGGAGATGAAAGGAGAAATACAGAAATTAGACGACAAGATAGGAACAA